AATCAATGCCGAAAATAAAAGAAAAAAAATTATTGTGGACAAGAATCAAACGGACGGATTTTGGAAATCCGTTTTTCTTAAAAAACAGATTTCTAAAATCCGTTTTTGTTGTTTTTTTTTTTAACGGATTTTCAAAATCCGTTTTTTATTTTTTATTTATTTTTAGATCGGATTGTGAAATTTGGGCTCGTTAGGGCTCGTCCGAACTCGGAATTAAGTTCTGTTTTTTCTTACTTGTCGCCAACGAAGCCTTCTACGCATTTATGCTTTCGAATCTGATTTATTCTTGAAAACCTATTCTCCCAAAGCTCTTGACCTGAAGTTGGCAGCTTCCGTGCACGACTTCACATATTGAGCCCGTTCGGACTCGTCCGAACTCAAAATTGAGTTTCGATTCTTCGTACATATCGCTAACGAATCCTACTACTAGAGCATGCTTTTATGACCAATTTTCAGGCTGGAACTATTCCTTGCGGGGCTTTCGGCCAAAAACGGGGAAAAAGAATAAATAAAACGAAGAAAACTAGCAAATTTCGGGCTCGTTTGGGCTCGTCCGAACTCGAATTGAATTCCGTTTTTTTTTCGTACATGTCGCCAACAAATCCTTCTGTATAATTATGCTTTCAAATATAACCTATTCATGAAAACCTATTATCCCAAAGCTCTTGACCTGAAGTTGACGGCTTTCTTGCACGACTTCGCATATCGGGACCGTTAGGACTAGTTCGAACTCGAAATTGAGTTTCAATTCTTCCTACATGTCGCCAACGAATCCTACTACTAGAGAATGCTTTTCTGACCAATTTTATGGCTGGAACTATTCCTTGCGGGGCTTCCAGCCTAAAACGGGGGAAAAGAATAAATAAAGAAAAAGACTAGCAAAATTCAGGCTCGTTTGGGCTCGTCCGAACTCAAATTTGAATTTCGTTTTTTCCTACATGTCGCCAACGAAGCCTTCTATGTAATTATGCTTTCAAATCCAACTTATTCTTTAAAACCTATTATCTCAAATCTCTTGACCTGAAGTTGGCGGCTTTCTTGCACGACTTCGCATATCGGGACCGTGAGGACTCGTTCGAACTCGAAATTAAGTTTTGATTCTTCTACATGTCGCCAACGAATCCTACTACTAGAGAATGCTTTTCTGACCAATTTTTGGGCTGGAACTATTCCTTGCGGGGCTTCCGGCCTAAAACGGGAGAAATGAATAAAAAAACGAAGAAGACTAGCAAAATTCAGGCTCGTTTGGGCTCGTCCGAACTCGAAATTGAATTTCGTTTTTTTCCTACATGTCGCCAACGAAGCCTTCTATATAATTATGCTTTAAAATCCAACCTATTATTGAAAACCTATTATCTCAAAGCTCTTGACCTGAAGTTTGCGGCTTTCTTGCACGACTTGTCCAAACTCGAAATTGAGTTTCGATTCTTCCTACATGTCGCCAACGAATCCTACTACTTTAGCATGTTTTTACGGCAAATTTTTGGGCTGAAAATATATATTGCGGGGCTCCCGACCTAAAACGGGGAAAACAAAAAGAAAAAAAAAACTAGCAAAATTGTACTAATTTGAGTTCAATTGGACTAATTCGAGTTCTATTACACTATAATTGACCGTGGTTGGTACAATCACGGTCAATTATGCTGCAATCGAACTCGAATTAGTACAATCAAAGTCAAATTTAGTATAATCGAACTTGAATTAGTCCAATCACGGTCAATTATAGTGTAATCGAACTAGAATCAGTCCAATCGAAGTTAAATTACTATAATCGAAGTCAAATTACTATAATCGAAGTCAAATTAGTATAATCAAAATCAAATTAGTCCAATCAAAGTCAAATTAGTCCAATCAAACTCGAATTAGTCCAATGAAAATCAAATTAGTACAATCAAAGTCAAATTAGTCCAATCGAAGTCAAATTAGTACAATCGAAGTCAAATTAGTACAATTGAAATCAAATTAGTCCAATCGAAGTCAAATTAATCCAATCAAAGTCAAATTAGTATAATCAAACTCGAATTAGTCCAATGACGGTCAATTATAGTGTAATCGAACTAGAATTAGTCCAATCAAAGTCAAATTACTATAATCGAAGTCAAATTAGTATAATCGAAGTCAAATTAGTACAATCGAAGTCATTCTAGTCCAATCGAAGTCAAATTAGTACAATCGAAGTCAAATTAGTACAATCGAAGTCATTCTAGTCCAATCGAAGTCAAATTAGTACAATCGAAGTCAAATTACTACAATCGAAGTCAAATTAGTCCAATCGAAGTCAAATTAGTCCAATCGAAGTCAAATTAGTCCAATCGAACTCGAATTAGTATAATCGAACTCGAGTTAGTCAAATCACGGTCAATTATAGTGTAATCGAATTAGTCCAATCGAAGTCAAATTACTATAATCGAAGTCAAATTAGTATAATCGAAATCAAATTAGTCCAATCGAAGTCAAATTAGTCCAATCAAACTCGAATTAGTCCAATTGAAATCAAATTAGTATAATCGAAGTCAAATTACTCCATCGAAGTCAAATTAGTACAATCGAAGTCAAATTAGTACAATGAAGTCATTCTCGTCCAATCGAAGTCGAATTAGTACAACCGAAGTCAAATTAGTATAATCGAAGTCAAATTAGTCCAATCGAAGTCAATTATACGAAAATCGAAGTCGAATTAGTCCAATCGAAGTAAATTACTATAATCGAAATTGAATTAGTCCAATCGAAGTCAAAATAGTACAATCGAAGTCAAATTAGTACAATCGAAGTCAAATTAGTACAATCGAAATCAAATTAGTCCAATCGAAGTCAAATTTGTCCAATCGAAGTCAAATTAGTATAATCAAACTTGAATTAGTCCAATCACAGTTAATTATAGTGTAATCGAACTAGAATTAGTCCAATCGAAGTCAAATTACTATAATCAAAGTCAAATTACTATAATCAAAATCAAATTAGTCCAATCGAAATCAAATTAGTACAATCGAAGTCAAATTAGTCCAACCGAAGTCAAATTAGTACAATCGAAGTCATTCTAGTCCAATCGAAGTCGAATTAGTACACTCGAAGTTGAATTAGTACAATCGAAGTCAAATTACTATAATCGAAGTCAAATTAGTACAATCGAAGTCAATTATACTAAAATCGAAGTCGAATTAGTCCAATCGAAGTTAAATTACTATAATCGAAATCGAATTAGTCCAATCGAAGTCAAATTAGTACAATCGTAGTCAATTTACTATAATCAAAGTCAAATTAGTACAACCGAAGTCAATTATGGTGTAGTCGAACTCGAATTAGTCAAATATAAAATCAATTAGTACAATCTCGGGCAGTTATGGTGTAATCAAACTCGAATTAGTCCAATTGAAATCAAATTAGTACAATCTCGGTCAATTATGGTATAATCGAACTCGAATTAGTCCATTGAATTCAAATTAGTACATTTTTTCTAGTTTTTTTTTGTTCGTTTTACTTCTTGTTTTCCACCGTTTTAGGTCGGAAGCACCGCAAGAAATATTTTCAGCCCAAAAAATTTCCCTAAAAGCATGCTCAAGTAGTGGGATTCGTGGCGACATGTAGGAAGAATCGAAACTCAATTTCGAGTT